ACTCCGTAGATAAAAATGCCACATCATTTATGAACAAAACCGAAACTTACAAAAAACCATATATAAAAACCTATCTAATGAAACTTAAACAACGAATATTAACTTAATTAAGGTTATTTTCATATTGATAAATCGTTTAATACAAATATAAATACTATAAATATAGAATTATATCAAGTTTTGACATACGATATAAAAATATGAAATTTTCCATTTCATTATTAATTGGTGTCATTAGAAGAATCCACTAAACCAACAATCGAAAAAAATACACGCAAACATAATGATCCCGGCCCCGCGCTTGCGCGGAGAATATGCAACTAGTACTTATAATATTTTGGACTTTATCAGTGTAGTTGGCTAATATGTTTGTGTTAAAAATTTGTTTTCAGTATAAATTCTTTGCCTTTTAGGCCTCAAAAGTTCTTCACACGGCACTGATTCTCATACATGATCAGAAATTTATAGCAAGTAACAAAAAGAAAATGAATACCAGGTTTCATGGAGACAAAAAAAAAAGGGTAGATAAAATGGCATACAATTTTATAATGAAGAAATATATATTCGTTTTGGAAATATATATATATATGATCTTTTCATAATGAAGAAATAATATGATTATCCAAATGAAATAATAATTTGGATTCTAATACAATTGAGTGATTAAAAAAACTGTTTATATTTATAGTTAATTTGAAATTGGGTTAGGCTTTCAAACATTGGTCTAGTCAGACCCACATATATCGGTACAACCTGCAGCTTCGACCCAAAATTTAGATAATAAATATATGATAGAATAGCATAAGCAATGTACGATTTAACTCTTGAACGGTTACGTGATTAAAGTGGTTAAAAGAAATTAGTTGCTCAATATATCATCTACAGTTTTTGGAAACAAAGGAACAATGTCTTCAATAACCATATTATCTTGACCCCAGATGCTATGCAATCTACCGCCTCATAGACAGGAAAATGAGGAATACAATCACTGCTAGAAGACATGGGAAGCAATTCCTCAACCTAATGGCCAAGTGGTGCGTTGATCGATTAGCTCATCTACACTCTTTGTTATCACCTTTTTTTTGTAACGTACTTTAGATCTACTTTACTTGTAATTCTCCTTTCATATCAATAATATTTACCTTTAATTAAAGAAAAGTGGTTAAAAGAGCAATTCATTGTTCACCATTTTTTGCTAAACCAGCATAGTTTCTATAAGTTTGAATGATATAAAATTGTGGTCCTAAATCTCACAAATCGACAACGATTATCGGGGGACCTATGTACTATTTTACATAAGCATGATTTATTAAATCATTACACATGCAAAATTTAATATGAAACTGTGGATCATGACAATGAGAAGTCGCCATCATTATATAATTAATTCTTAAAGTTAGTCCACTTGAGAACTTAGATGTTAAAAATAAGCCTCACCCAACCCAAATGCCACAAGTCGAAGTCGTACTCGGTGCAGGTGCGGCAATACATTGTGTTAATTCCTATAACATTTGATGTTGGTGAACATTGATTAATTTGAAACATGTTTACTAAGAGGAAAACTAGATAAAAGAGCTACATCAAGAAAGTGATTTAGTAAATCTTAATTAATGCTAAAGGAATCAAACAAACGTTATGTTTAACGTGCCAAACAATTTCTTTAAAAGAGTTAGATGCTAAACTGGACGATTTGGATTGGTTAATATCGAATGGAACACATGGACTGAGGAATCGAGCGCTATGGGTTTAGGGCTCGTCCTTGGCATCCTTATGTTTAAGCGTTCCTTTGGGTGTCGATGCGTACAATATCAGCAAAGGCAAAGGCAATGATTTCCATAAACGTTGTTTAATTTAAGCATGTCATCAAATATCAGTTCTGGCTGGTCCTGAACTTTGGGAGAGACTAAGAACAACCACATTAATTGTATCTAGATGAGATTCTAAATATATATATTATATGTATATATTGAGTTCTTAATTTTACCGAAAACACAATCTAAAATATCTAAATTTAAAGATTTTAGATTATGTTTCTCGATTATTAAGAACTCTATAATTAAATATATACATACATATGTATTGGAGTAATTAATATAAAACAATGAGAGTATTATTAGTAAAGTAAAATAACTAAGAAAGAAAAAGAAAATATTACATCTAGAGCAACCCAATTTTTTCTTCATATAACAAGAGGAATAAAACAAACACTTTTACTCTTTTTAAACCGTTATTAGCGCAAAAATTGGTGAAACGTTTTCATCCTGGTTGGCATGAATTTAGCTGAAGTGAGAGTAAATGTATTTTTCATTAGAAATATAACGCTAGTTAACATACAGTCGAATCCATTGTTTCTCTAGATAAAAAAAGAACAGAAGCAAAAGTTTGTTCAAACTTTAAAATGAACAGTTTTTAAACATATGATTTTTTTCACTTCAAAACATTACAGAATTACACGATATTTAAAAACTTGAATGGAGTTTTCGGTGGTCACTTTCAGTAATGTATCTTAAAAGTGTATTAATGTACGAATTTCAACATTTTTATCATCACAGAGTTGCTAACAATTATAGAAAATTTTATGTAACAGAATTACACGATATTTAAAAACTTGAATGGGGTTTTCAGTGGTCACTTTCAGTAATGTATCTTAAAAGTATATTAATGTACGAATTTCAACATTCATATCATCACACAGTTGCTAATTAACAATTATAGAAAATTTTATGTAACATTCACAAGAGATCGACAACTGCCGAATCGGCCTATCATAAGTCTTCGTTAGTTGCATCAGATCTTGATTTTCAGATCATGTACACTTATTATTTTAAACAGCAACCAAAAGTAGCTTTAACGCACCTTAATAATTAGTATCATATTTTTTACGACATAATAATAGTTAATATATATATTTCGAAAGAATAGTAGAATACAATGACTTTTGATTTAATAAAGAGGAAATTCACGTAGACAGTCACCCACCATTATCGCTCCTCATAAGCACTATTTTATTCAAGACTTAGCAGACACTGAAATATTTTTTTTTTTAAATGAAAAAAAACCTAATCAGCTCAGTCAAACACTCAGATAATCAACTTGAGAAATAAACGAATAAATAAAAATATATCCATTAATGGGCGACGTCCAAAAAAAAAAAAAAAAAAAATCCATTAATGGGCCTTAAGCCCATGTATCCCACCCGGTTTTAAATACTCAAACCCATTTCAAAACCCGGTTCAATATCTTTGACCCGTAACTGACACCCCCTTTTATCCACAATCCAAATCTCTTTCAAACCTCATCTTCTTCCTCATCACAGCAACAATGGCGTCTTCCTTCTCGCTCACAAGCCTCATCTCCTCCATCTCTCCCTTCAAACCACAAACCAAACCCACCCCTCCTCCTCCCAGCCTCACTCTCCCTACTCCAACACTCTCCAACAGACAAAAAAACAATCTCTCCATCCAAGAACTCCCCCCTCCTTCTTCCACCGCTTCTCTCTCTTCTGAGCTAGCTTCCGTGATATGTCCTTCCCTCGCGTACTCGAACACGCTCTTCTTCAGCAGCTCGGGGTACAACGTGCAGGTGTTTGTGGAAGATAACGAGTCTGAGGAGAGGCTGGTGAATCGTTTCAGAAGGGAGGTGATGAGAACTGGAGTTATACAGGAGTGTAAAAGGAGGAGATACTTCGAGAACAAGCAAGATGAGAAGAAGCGTAGGACTCGTGATGCTGCTAAGCGTAATAAGAAAAGGTTCATGGTTTAACCTCTTCTCTTGTTTTATAAATGCTTCATAGTAATTGGTGTAACACCCGTCTGTCCTTTCTCGAGAATACAGTCAGTTGGTTAGAACATGATTAATGAGAATTATTAGGATGGAGTTCTTAGCCGAATATAAAAAAGAGCCTCTTAACATAAAACTGCATTTGAATGCAGAAATAATAACCAATATTCTTTTCCAGCTCCTGACTTTAAGATACTGGAGATACTGAAGATATGCTTCCCTGACTTTAAGATTTGTTATGTTCCTAGAGGTCAGAACGTTGTTTCTGATTCTCTAGCCAAGACAGCTAGGTCTTTTTATCGTAAGCTTGTGTACGTTGGTTGTTCTGTTCCGGTCTGGATTCCCAGACCACCTCAAGTTCCTTGAGTAATAGATCAGCCGTTTGATGTCAAAAAAAATAAAAAAATAACCAATATTCTAAAGATTGATAGGCCGTATGATTATTGTGTAGGTGAGCGGCCTACATTTTTTAAATGCTTAGCCGATTTTTGCAGTTTGAAAAAATTGTTTTGTTCATACCCGATTTAATTTAAAACACTGAAAATAACAGTAATGTTGAAATGTGCTATTTTATTTTATTTTTGTTGAAAATCGAGTATCCTAACCATTTCCCTAGGTTAAAAACCCAAAAAATAACCCTCTTTGATACCATATTGTAACATTTCAGCCATGCGTAACTAATGAGCCTCCCAAAATTAACGCATGGATCGTAGCACAGTGTGGAACCCACACAGCGAGTGGGCGTTACAGATTGATTATTATGATGTGAACAAATAGTTTATTGAAGATTTTAACTTCACTGTCTAGTAGAATTGAGATGTAGCAGAAATGGTACTGAGCTTGTATTGTGGTCGTATTGTTGGTGGTTGTTTTCAGGCGTCCTTTTCAAGCAAGGTTTACTCAAGAGGGTAGAGAAGAAGCAGCAGCAGCAACCAAGAGTAAGAAGAAGGATGAAGAAGAAGATAACTGGGAGATGCCTGATGGTGATGTACCTTCTTGAACACAGTTTCAGTATATTGATCTTTATCCTTTTTTTCGGTTATAAGTTTGGTACATTGTAACTTCTAATGAGCATATAAGTTACCCTTTGGTGATGAGTTCTTGTCAATGTTAAGACATCTATATTTGTCTTCTAATGTTTTTAGAATGACTAAAATTCCATTCTATATGTTCATCAATGGAGATGATACATGAATGCAAATTGCTTATCTTAGCAGGTATAGGTTACTTGCATTTTCAACTCCTTCGATTACATATTTTTGTGATTTGCTAATGTTGCAGATAAATGTGAATTCTGTGTTTATGATCTGAAAACTTCTCTGCAGCTGTATGTTGTTAGACCATCCGCAATGGCGGATCCTTATGGGGAATCCTTAGAGAAATATTAATTTTATAATCAATGGGTCTCATGAACAGTTAAGGATTTTATCCTAAAAATCCTTATGTAAGGATTGATCCTTACACTATTCATGGGCTCCACTGCACACATGGCGGTCCGTGAGTGGTCAGTTTATTTTTTTTTAATGAAAAAATCTGAAATATCCTTATATAATCCGAAATATCCCTTTTTTTCCTAGGATTCCTCTAAGGATCCGCCATTACGGATGCTCTTGGTTTCTCTTAGCAAGGAGAGGTATAATGTTAGTTTTGCTTCTTAAGATGAACGGTGAGTTTTATCCAAAAAAAAGAAGATGAACGGTGAGTGGTATGCAATCAGCTATTTTACTTACAGAAAGAAAGGTAGCATGATAGTTCTAACGCCTAATAGAAAAACTCTTTAGCAACATTGCAAGTAGAGTTAATTACATATGGCAACTAGTTTTTTCATCTCACAGAAGCATGCATGATTAATCGTTCAGACTCAGAGTTTCAGAATCATCTCGCAAGCCCAATAAGATTCCATGGGCTGTAGTACAACTCCTCTCGAGTTGAGTATAGCCTATATTTAGGCAAACGTCATGTGAGCTCGCAGGGATGATGATGATATAAACATATATAATTATTTTCTAATTTACGGACCTAAAACTCCTTGAAAGCATGATTTGTTTTTAAACGAAAACATACCGTTGTAAACAATCAAATTAAATGAAAACCACAAATTCACTATAAATAATCAGTTTCTGACAATAAGACATAGTCACATAGGCATTGGCACATAAGGTGTAGACTTTAAGCACTGATTATATTTTATCCATTAACAATCTCAAACGGTCGCGTGGCAAATGTGACGACAACAAAAATATCTGAAAGTTTGGAACTTTGATCTAAATTTCAAGGTTAAACTTAAGGTACATTCGATTGAATCTTACAATAGATTATAAACATTCTCTATGTTTCAGCTTCTTATCGACGAATCAAAACGAAGGGACGTAAAGAAATGTCTACGTGTTCTTTCACTTAATATCAAAGCTCCTATATAAAATCTCAACTTGTACAGAAAGTCAGTGACTGATAGGAATCAATAGCGAGTGGGTGGAATTAACCAACAAATGATATATATTCTAATCAATGCATTATGATGTTTCACTAATTAATCTTTTGATTAGGTAAGAAGTAACCAATTAGATAAGAATTCACGCGTCAGCAACCTTTAAATTACATTCCATCATTATGATTGTTTCAAGAGATATTTCTCAGAATGTCACAGAATACATGGCAAAAAAACACAAAGGCATTTTGCTTTTGGAACATTATTTAATATATATATATATATACTAATAGTCTAATACTATATAACTAAACATATTATATATATGTAACACTTTTATATAAGTGTAAGTTAATTATTAATTGCAATTTAAAAAAAAAAAAATTGCAATCACAAATTCAAACTCTTGCAAAACATAAAACGCAAAAGCAGTTATTCTAAGAGCATCTCCAAAAGACACTCTATAACTTTAAATATGGAGTTTTTGTCTCTCCAAAAAGGAATTCTTAAACTTCAAATTTGAAGTTTTGAGTAGTGAAACTTCAAATATAGAGTGTCACTATTCAAAACTTCAAATTTGAAGTTTCATATTTATTTGCATTTTGGCCCTTACAATTACACATCATATTTATAATAATCTTAAATATTTATTATTTATCGTTTTACTATTTAAAAAATATTATTTCATAAATAATTCAAAATTATGTTTATAAATTTAAAATTTGTATATGTTTTAAAAAAAACATCAAGATAATCTTTAAAATATTTTAAAATATTTTTTTGTATTTTAATATTTAATTATATATTTCTATTTATAGTTTTATATTTTAGTGTAACATTTTATCAAATAATATTTCTATAATATTTTTATACATGTGATAGCTATTTAAAAAAGTTTTATGAATTTGAATTAGTTATGACAAATATAAGGACTATTATATAAAATACAAATAATTTTGAAGTTAGGTTTGAAGTTTTGCTTTTGGAGTATAACACTTTCAAACTTCAAATACTATAGAGTTTTGCAAACTTTATAATAGAGAATCTTTTGGAGATGCTCTAACAAAGTTTAGACGCTCGATACCAACAGAGAAAAAAACATATTGTAAGTATAGCTAACGTGTGTTTCAAAAGAAAAAAACTACAAAACTAATATATTTACATTAGGGGTAGGCACAAAGCCGAGTATTCGGTATTTTTGGTATACTTAGTATTCAGTTTGGCTTCTATGAGTAATAAATTTTTTGACTTGTATTTAGGTTTGTTAAAAACGAGTACTTACAGTCCAAAGTACTTGCAAAAAATTATCAGATTTGCATGTTACTTGTTTTTTATTACTTGTAAATTACTTACAATTTAACTAATAATTATTGGTAAATTATTTGATGATTCATTAAAATTTAACGATAAATTATTTGATGTTTCTTTTTTTATATTTTAGTCAATTGAAAAAATAGATTATATAAAAAATAGAAAATTTTAAAGATGCTTATATAAATTTAAAACTTATGTTGATGCACTAACGAAAGTGAAAATATAAATGAGTTTTTTTTTACCATGATTTAGGAAAATGTATCTTAGTTCATTAACAAACAAAACAAAATCAATTAATTAATTTTATTTTATATGATATTTGTTTTATAATTATAAGTAATTTAAATAGATTACTTGATACTTAATTCGGTGAACAAATACTCATCTTTAAAAATCATGTACCTTTGAAGTAAAGAAGAGGAAGCTAGCAACGAATAATTTTGTACGATCACTAATAAAATGTAATACATTAATTTAATTAATTAATAAAATGGATATCAACTATTTAATAAACTATGTAATATATAACAAATAATGACACAATTAGAGGATATTAAGTAACAAACCAAGTAACAAGCCAAGTAGTTAAAAATAAAAATGAACTTGATACTTAACTTGTATTTGCAAGTAATAAAATTCACTTACTTATTACTCGACTTGTTTATAGCAAATACTTATTTTTTTAAACTAAACTGAGTTAAGTATCAAGTACAAGCTGAGTATCAATTATTTGTGCCCAATCCTAATTTATAGTAACGTCGGTGTAGTTTATTTCAAAGCTTTTGTTAACTAATTTTGGATGTTGGACCTTTATGTTTCTTTATGCTCAAACTGGACCACAGTGTGAAATTTGACATGAATTTTGTTTTTGAATCTTTTTCATACAACTAGATCAACAAGTTGTCAACTAGTTTCGTAGAATTATTGAATGTTCTTTAAGTTTGATATGAATTATCGTTAGCAGTCCTGCTCTTAATAATCTATAGGTTACATAAGTAAACCTTTTGATGATTTATCATCAAAACACTGAAACGGTTTTTTGTGTGTTGTGTTTGTTTTTGGTAATCATGTTAACATTACCTACCATTTTAAGAGTTTACAATATTGCTACGAAATTATTAAGCAAATTGTAAATACTAAAACAACCTGAAACAAGAGCAAGCATATGCAACCAAAGAAATCTAAAACAAGAGAAATAAAACACTATAAGGAAATGATGACTGGAGTTTCTTGCTGGAAACGAGATGCATGTGTTTGTTCCAGGCATGTTAGCATATATTTCCACAATATAGATAGTTTTCGAAGCTAATAATTTATTTGATAACACCGATAAGAATTTAAAATCGACAATTCAACGGATTGCTATCAAGAAAAGCTAGTGGTACGATAATCAAAATATAAAAGTGGATGGAGAACGAGAAACAAACCAAGAAAGTTATATATTAATTAAAGTATCGTATTATTACAATGGAAATATATATAGTATATGAAATTAACGAAAGTGATTACTTGTGTACAAGTAAGTGGTTGAAATACATATATAATAAATCAAATAATTATGGTGAAATACACACACATACACACACACACACACACACACATATATATATATATATATATCAAGTAATCATATACAATACAATTTTGTATTACTTGTTTTAATATTCTTGAAAACGCTAGCTATATTTTTTTTTTTGAATCAAATACAATTGTTTCACACAAGATAAGAAAGCAAAAATACAATTTGAAATGCTGAAACTTAAAACTTCCGACACTCTCACTTTTCCTTCATTTACAAGCAACTCAGAAATCTTGAAATTTTTTTCCCTAAAACCAACTCAGCTCTCACTCCTATTGGGTACCTAGCACTCACTACTACTAGGCTTTCACATACCCAACTCTCACTTCTACTGGGCACCCAGCTCTCACTCCTACTGGGACAAGAAAAACATCAAGCCAAAACAGCCACCACTACCTCTATTTCATCTTCCAGCTCCCTCCTTATTACGAACAATACTCAACTTCTTCAGAAATAAAGAAAACTTCAAATTATCTAACACTGAACCAATAGCGTAGACTTCCCTCTAAATCATCCTCTGTTTTTCTCTGAATTGTACTCAATCTATTTCTCATATTCTTCTCAATCACCTTTGTTAAGAGGTCATAGGATAAGCATGTTTCTCCATGTCTTCTTCTATTCCTCTCCCTCCATATGCTATATACTGTCAGCTGCAAAGCATATCTACTTACAAACCTCTGAATTTTCTGTCTCCTCTCACTAGAACATATCCTAATTAACTCTTCCCATTTCACTGTGAACTCATTTCCCATGACATCTATCATCAAGCGCCTCCAAATGAGTCCAGAGAAAGGACAGTCAAAGAAAAGATGTTCTTTTGTCTCTATTGGCATGCGACAGAAACTGCAGGAGGTATCAACATTTCCATTCCAATAGCTCATCCTGTCTCCTGTGGAAAGCCTATCACGAATTGCAGT